TGGATTTTTGAGACAGGGTTTCTCCGTAGCTTTTTGGTTCCTGTCCTGGAACTAGCTCTTGTAGACCAGGCTGGCCTCAAACTCACAGAGATCCGCCTGCCTCTGCCTCCCGAGTGCTGGGACTAAAGGCGTGCGCGCCACCACTGCCTGGCTATTTCCTTTTCTCACACAGAAAACTTGTAGAGTCCTGCTTTAAACCACCTGCTTTGTGAAGGATTGCTTTCCTTCTTGAGAAGAATTGTTTCCAAAATTTTCATTGCTCTATCAGTTTTTAGTATAATGATTATAAATGTGTTCCTCAAAATATAAGTTATCAAGTAGAGGACTATTCATGGTCTCTTCCTAGTAGATGTGAATATCATAGCTGATGCTTTGTAACTATTGGTGTGTGAACAACTCTTGTGGCTGATGTGCAATTCTTGCTCCTCAAGCCTTACAGATGCTACTTGAACATTTTCACACTGAAGAAAACATTTTTTTTTTTCATTATTAAATTTTAAGGGATCTCTGGCTCTGAAATTCTTAGGATGTTTTGATTGTCTTCCAGCTATATCCAGAGAGTCAAGGTGCCCAACTTCTGTGAACAACAGTTTTTACCTACATTTAGCAAGACAAACACTAGGAAGACATCCATATGATTATCTTGTCTATTTAATCTGATAATATACATGTTGAAGTTTTTTTTGAGTGTCTGTGTGAATATGCATGTGTGTATATGTATATCTGTGTTCACTAGCATCTGAAGGCCAGATCTCAACTTCAAATATTATTTCCCATGTGTTGATCACTTGTTTTTTTGTTTGTTTGTTTGAAAACAGAATCCCTTATTTGCTTAATGTATGCTGATTGGCTAAGCTGTGTAACCAATGAACCTTAAAAACTTCCCTCTCTCTTCCTATCTGGAACATTTAAGTGTTCCACATCTATTTGTGTTCTGGTTGTTATACTCAGCTCCTCATACTTACACTAAGTACATTACTGAACTAGCTTGTCAAATCACATATAACACCTTTGGGAGTTGTGTGGCCTAAATTTGGACCAGCATATGAGCCCTTGTTCAATAGGTTCCTGCAAGGTAAGACCCGTGGAGTCAGTCATTCACTCAGCAAAACCAGTGGACATTGCCACGGAGCAGAGTATTGCTGGGACCGTGAGGCCTGAAAGCTCTCTTGAATATTGTTGTTTTTGAGAATATGTGCATATGTTTTTCACCTTTTACCTTTGTAATTACAAGATGTTTTGATGAACACAGATGAACACTTCCAATATGTATGTATGTGTTTTCCTATTTAGTTTTGATTCATAATAATAAACTTAACTCCACAATCCAACTAGACTTAGAGAGTGATGAGGATAATATGGATTCTAAAGAAAATTAGTGAAAGTGGTTGTTCTGGTATGGTGAGTAGAGGGGGCAGAGATGCTTTCCTGAAGGAATGGTCTTGTGGGTAATATGTCTGAAAGTCAAAAGAATTAGAGTTGTTCATAGTCAGCAATGGAGATATTCTTTCTGCTCTTACCATTCTTGAACCCTAAACTCTATGTAGCTTCCACAATGCTCATGTCTTCTTTCACTTTCGCTAACATCACCTGTTTGCCATCTAGCCACTCAGTCTTGGAATGCAGTTGAAAAACTAAGAACAGCTGGTGATTGGTCCAGCATTTTCCATGGGCAAGATGCCAGTATCTGTTTGCTTCAGGCTGAAGTTCTGATCCTCAAATTTCTTCCTATAGATGGACATGCTACATTACATGTGAAGTTGTCATCCTGGAATAAGAATCTTGGAATAATTCTGTGAAAGGAGTGATCCTTTCTTTCTAGTTTTTAAAGCACAAAAAATTCCTGTTGTCTTTGGAGAACTGTCTCCAAACAGCTCAATGAAGATGTGGCCCAAGGGCTTGCTGTCAACCACAATGTCAATGATCATGGTGAAGTTGACCATGGCTACAGCAAACATCAACAGGGGTGAGTGGTGCCTGCAAAGCCAACATTTTCATTTCAGAAGAAACAGAGAGGAGAGATGGTATGAGTATAGTGGCATAGTTCATCAACTGCTTACCCTGATTTAGTGCCTTTGGGCTATTTTATTTATAATCTGTATTTATTTTCAGTGGAAATGTATGGGGGAAATACATTGAATTTGTTTCATTCATTACCTTTCCATTGCATCACTAAGATTGTATGGCTATGTATGTAATTAATTGAAGCCGTCTGATTTTGTCCTTGCATCATATTTCATTTGGTAAATTTTTACTCTAGAGAACAGGAATTCTATGGGGAAGTTGGTCTCTTGACTATAGT